GTCAACTTTAACCCGGCCCGGTTCAATGTGTAAAACCAACAGCACAGAGAAACAAACTCAACAACACACAGTTTGGGAATTTCATGTGAACTTGTGGAAGCCATTGTTACGTGTGTGTGTAGGATCAGAGTGTGTGTGGGATCAGAGCCGCTGACCTCGGGTCCAGAAGAGGAGTTGCTATTAGTATGCAGATATATAAATTCCACCATCCGTGCCCACTATCCTTCAAACCCCTCCTCTCCAAAACAGTGACAGAAAGCTGAAACTGAAAACCAATGACACTGAAAAAACCCTGACTGTGTAAAAGAAAATCTGTCCTTGAAAAAATTTCATGAAATCATAAGATTGTCACTGCAAAACACATCAGAAAACAAAAAAATATATTTTTAATATCTGTTTAATTTTTCAGTGGAACTTTTTTTCAGTGTCAGTACAACTTTTTCCAAGTATTTAAATTCCAATGTTCCTTATAATATCACTGTTTACCTGCAACAACATTTGACCTCTGCAGGAGTTGCACTAATAATGAGACAAGATGATTTCACAGTTTGGACAATAACAGAAGCATGCATTGAGAAAGTGTATTGTATATTTTTGCAGGTTTGCATATTGCATATATGAATGCTTGTGTATTAAAAAAGGTAACTGGGGGGGGTGGGGGGGGGGACAGCAGAGTGACTCCAGCACCTCTGCACCTTCCCTACCTCCTCCTTATTTATTTGTCTGTATTAGTTAGCTCCTTCTCAGCACTTAAAATTAATGTCATCCAGCAGAAAATAGTGGCTGAAAGCTAAAATTCAGCACTTTCCCAGCAGCCTGGTTATTTATCAAGCTAACAAGGAGAAGATGCATCCCGTTTCAGCCGGGCCCAGGAAATATGTGCCATTAAAGCCCAGAGCTAGTGTTTGAGAGCCAGGGAATAAAAGTGAGGGTGTCAGGGAGAGGGGATGGACGGCATCGGCAGCAATATGGATGCAGAGAGGCCAGCAGACACATTTATTTAAGGAACAATAGATACACTTGAGTAGAAGCATGAGAAGTGAGAGGAAACCCACATTCTGTCTACCAACGGCATAGCCACAATGCATATTCTGCATGTGCTGCATGTGTGCATATGAAGTGCTGATTCGCTCATGGCTATAAAAGACAGTCCTTTAGGGGATACAGAAGACATAGTTTGGAGCTTTGAATAAATCATGTGCTGCCAGAGTGAGCTTAGCACTAATTTTCTCTTTAGGAGCAGAGTGTTGAAACACGTCCTGAGGACTGTTAGTATTGTGCCGTGTTAACATCTCTGTAGCATCAGGAGCTAACGCCGGAGTGTTGGAATTCAATTAGACACTGGGTGCAACGTTGAGCATCTAGCATTGGGCAGTCACCGCAGGGAAGGGTGAGGAGGGGATGGCGACACGAGGGGACGGGGAAGTGTGTGTGTGTGTGTGTGTGCTCGTTTGTGTGTGTGTGTGTGTGTGTAAGGAGAAGGAGGCTGCGGGCAAGAGGAAGGCCCTGGGCTGCTGGCTGCGGTGATTCAGGGGAATACATTATATCACACTAACCTCCGGCTGATCACAAGTTCCTCTCTCAATCATGCTGTGAACACACAGTCGCAACCTGAGGACAACAGTGGCTCTGAGGCTCACACACACACACACACACACACACACACACACACACACACAGACACACACAGACACAGTGGTAACAGCTTTACAACTAATTATGTTTGAATAAAACAACACAATCCAGGCTTAAACAACTGAAACATCGGAGAGAAAATTGTATATTAACATAAGATGAAAACAGGAGCGGGTTGATGTTTAGAGGTTTTGCTCGAGGGTGCAGTTTTCTCCTCAAGTATCATTTATTCTGTAGTTTAGAATAAAGTAAGAACACATAACAAGTTTTTAAAAACAATCCAAATTTGTACACAGTGTTCAGTTTGTGTATCTTTACAACTGCAGAGAGAGAACAGTTTTTTCTCTTTTTGTTATTTTTAATCCACACCCAATCCTATACCCGTCCTCTCTTTTTAGAGCAGGCCTAGTAATGAGCACACATCCTGTTCATATCCTCCCTGTCATTTGGATTTTCTGGAGTGAGGGATGACGTCTGTGTCACTATCAAGACTGTAACAGAGTAACGAGTCTCAAACTGAGCAGCTAGTAGTTATATATATATATCCCAGGCAGTAAATGGATAGTGAAGTGTGCCAAACTGGGGATGGAGCAAATCCTTGTCGCTGCAGAATACAAAAGACCCTAATGCAGCTGCAGTGTGTTATAAGTGACAAATCAATGTTTGAATTAAGTGTGTGATACAGCAATATTTATTGCTCATCATTTGAAATCATATTGTGGAATTTTGCTTCAATATCAAAAATTGTAATATACAGTTTTGTTGACTACACTGATGCTGTTAAGTTAGATAACCTCAACCCCCTGGAGTATTTTCTGGGAAGTTCAAAATGCTCCAGTTTGATTACCATTAGCATGAAGTCCAGTGTGATACAAAATTAACTAAACAGATATCATGATATACATCAATATCGATCTTCTGCCTAGTCTATATTTATATATATATATATATATTTTTTTTTATGTACAGCCGATAAGTCCATGCTAGCGCTTAATTATATGTTCTCTTTCTTCCTCTTTCTTACACTCTCATACACCTTGATGTGTCTGCGTGCATGTGCGCATGTGTCCTTCCTCCTCTGCCGTGTCTACAAAACCTGACCTGCCCGCTGTCAGCCACAGAGGCACCTTGCTCTCCTCCCTCCCCGAATGGCCAACTCACCCCGTCACCATGAGGGGAAGACAAGTAGGAGGAGGAGGTGGATGGAGGGATGTTGGGGGATAACGGTGGAAGAAGGAAAAGTGGGGGTTGAGGTGTAGGGGGGAAGGATCGTGGAGGCGTGGTGGGTGGGTGGGGGCTCTGAAGCTTCCTCTAATGTGCCCTCTCCACTCCCCTGCATGTGACCTCAGAGCTCCTGACAGCCAGAAAGTGCTGAAGCATGCAGGTGTCCTAACGCTGCAGCCACACACATGCAAGCGCACGAGCACGTGTTCCACTCTCACACACAAACGCAGGTGTCCTACCTTAGCAGCCTGCATTCTGTCATATTTTTTTTAACTCTTTCATCCCCTCCATCCTCGCTGTGTCAGTACCATCCCGAATAAAATTGTGCGTTATGCTGTCAACTGTATTACTGTCTATCTCTTACTGGTCAACAAATAAAAATGGACATCGGTGGAGTGCATATCAAAGGCAAAACAAGCATGTGCTTCACAATGCTGAGCACATGAGGAAAGTAGAGTATACTGTCTGCTGCACAGTAAAATTAGCCGATGCTGATGCTGTAGTTTCTTCTGTCCAGCCTCTCGACTGTACAGTGTAAAACCTGAGGTGTCCAGAGAGTGTCCTGTCCTGTCTGTGTGTGTGTGTGTGTGTGTGTGTGTGTGTGTGTGGGGGGGGGGGGGGGGGGTTAGGGTTAGAGAGTTGTATTACAGTGGTGATGAGTCGCCTGGCTGCAAGGCTGATACCTCAGCAGCACCCAGCATTGACCAGGCCTTTAAATAAAGCCTTCGATCCTCCAGCAGCAGAGAAGGTCACCGCCTTCCTCTGGTTACCCTGCCTGTCTGTCTGCATCCACGGACAGGAGCCCTCCTACCATCCCTTCCTCCCACCCTTTCTTCGCCTCCTCACCTCCTTCGGTTCTCTCACCCTCGTGTGCGTGTCTGCATTCAAATCCAGGTGACTTCCTTTCGTCAATCCCTCAACTCCTTCCCTAACTTTGCCTCTATCCCTTCCATTCATCCTTCCTGTTGTCAGTGCACAAAAAAACTAGCCCTCGCTTTGCCTTGCTCACTCCATCATCCCCCGCCATCCACTGCAATCCTACCATCCGTCCATCTGCATGTCAGCCAGAAATAAAAAATAATGTACAGCGTTTATCTCCGCAGAGAGAGCTGAGAGAGTGAAGTTAGGTCAAAGGGTCAGGACAAAGGTTTTGGCCTCATCCCATGAGCACTGCACATGTCACCCTCCTGTCAATCAAGCAGCACTGTCAAAGCAAAGCCTCAAAACAGAGAGCTGTATAACATCGCACAACAAATGTTGAGAGAGCGTTTGATGGTCACAGAGCTAAATATGAAGCGAGGAAAAAAAAAATCACCTAATAATGAAACCTCCCCTTGTGTCTGCTGTCCCAAATGAGTGCTTCCTTATTAAATGAAACCAATATAAACAAGTGGTTTGGGGTTTTGATTTCACACAGAAGAAAGATACAACAATCTTACTTCATGTCTGAGGCACTATAAAAAAACTTTTGCCTGATTCATACAAAAAGTGAAAATATCAAGATGTTGTACGGCTACAGATGTAAGGCTCCTGTTTGAATAGTTTGACCGTGTAGACAGATTTTATACAAATTGTCTGAATTAAGAAAAGCAGGAAAGAGAAAATGTGAATTTTGTAGTTACTATTCATGACAGCTGAACAAAAAAATAGTTCAGTATTAGTTCAGTAATAGTAATAGTATTTTTAAATATTAAAATTTATGCAGCAATGACAGTATTTACAGTATAAGCTGTATATGTTGTAGTATATCTCAAAAGTTTTGCTTGGATGCAACCCTTCTTTTTTATAATATAAAGTGGGCCGTGGGGCTGCAAACTTGAATCAAATTTTATGTCCAAAATTTTGAAAATGTAAATGAAATAAATGATATAAAATACTGAAATTAATTCTGACAACATCATTGTAATGGATCAATTACTGAACACAGTTTTACAAACAGCTCATTGTAATATTATGTGCTGTATTTTAATGCAGCAGACATGAAATTTCAATCGTCAGACTTCTGCAACACTAAACTATTTGATGCAGTTTATGTTCTGTTTTATTTTGACATTAGTGGTAAATATTTTAACGGAGGTAAATGAATTTGTGTAGTCAGGTAAATGAGTGTTGAAATTTAAAGACTGAACGGGGTGAGTTACCTCAGACTCCAGGGTGATAGGACGGAGAGGTCACAGCTCTCGATCACAGATGGAGGAATTTTCTTGATGTCCTGCAAAGACAGGAAACAGAACTGTATTATAAAAACCCACAACACAGGAAACTGTAGACAAGACATACTTTGAACGTTGAGTAATCACAAAATGGAGCATGAATTTAAAGAAAAGTGACTCGATGGAGAGAGCAAAGATAATAATTAAGTCCTGAATCACTGGGGATAGAGTGTAATATTAGTCCTTTTAAAAAAACAATACAACTTATTTAATAATACATTTGTGGCAGTTGTATTTTGTCTAAAATTGAGCTGCAAGTTGAATTCATAAAATGTTATCAAGGAATTTGGAATTCTAGTCCTAAATACTTAAATTCAAGGCAAATAATCTATATAAAGAGTTCAATGATTCAGAATAACAATTGCAGAGCTGTAGATTAAGATACAGGCAGCAACAAACACAAACAAACAACACAAAAACAAAACTTCAGTCAAATAAAATCAATGGAACATTTCAATCAATCATATATCAGATATTAGATTTAACTGGAAGGTTTGGATTTGTTTTGTAATTTGGCTGATACATTTTATGTGCCTCATTTTCCAACACATGGATACAGATGCACATTCTCACACACACACACACACACACACACACACACACACACACACACACGGATTGCAGTGTATTTCAAAAGCAAAATCAATACACCTAAAAAGTATATTATATAATATAATATATATAAAATTTTCTGGTTATAACATTAAGTTTGATAATACACCATTGTTTTTATAACTACCCCATCCTTCATTAAAACAAACTTCAAAATGTAGGTGCATTATTTAAAATAATATTAAATGTATTAGTTCATAAGTAACTGAAATTAAACATCCGATCGGTCATTTCATGTTATCACATTCATTTCGGGTGTATGCATGTCTGACAGCAGCATATTCACACATTCAAGCGTGTGAACACAGCATATGCACACAAGTCAGCATTATATGAACACACATCAGGGACGACCGCGGATAAAGAAAATCTGGTAAATATATAAAGAGACGAATCATCCTGAAAAACTTTCCGCTGGGCTTTGGTGAGAAATGAGGCAAAGGAGTGACCAAGTATATTAATGCCCCTCAATCCATCTTTAAGCAACAATGAGAACCATTCATTTCCGTGTAATCCGATTCACACTGTGGTCAAATGGACTTTGACCCATTCAGCTACATAGGAGCTCCCAGTGACAGACCTACAGCAGAGAGAAGTCTGCCGTCACCTGGAAAATACTCTCAAACATCCACATGGGCAGACCGGCCTCTCAGATGTATCTAAACTCTGTTGAGAATTGACAGTTTCAGCTTCATTGAAATGAATCTGCACATAATTACACATACCTATAGGTGAACACGAACAAAGAGCTTGATAAACACACACACAAACAGGGGCCAGAACAGAGGAACATTTACACACACGTAGGCATGTACTCCCACACACTCACTGTGCACACATACTTACACATGTGTCTGTGCTCTGTGTGCTAATTCAAACAAGCACACGCACACACCCCCACACACACACTGGTCTTGATACAGGGGAAGTGAGGTCCACGTGCAGAGGGCTGCTACATGGCAGCAGTGTGTGGGGTCAAGGCCTTTCCCAGGTACAAATGAAAGGGAGAGGGGAGACTTTGGAAGAGTTGAACAACACTGTGGGTCACCTTGCCTGGCAAAGAGATCAATGTCTGTTTGACTGGCTGAGAGACAGAGAGAGAGAGAGAGAGAGAGAGAGAGAGAGAGAGAGAGAGAGAGAGAGAGAGAGAGAATGACTGCAGTAGAAGGGTAAATCACCTCACTCGCTTCATTGAGATGCAGGTAAAACACACAGGGGTCGGGCTCGGCTCCAGCTCCACCCTGCATAACACAAACTCGTGCACGCACTTAAACGCGTGTGCACACACACACACACACACACACACACACACACACACACACACACACACACAGAGTCGCATAATGCACTCAGTTTTCAAACACCCCCCCACCACGTCCGCTGCGGTCCAAAACACACCACTCCACTGACTCTGTGCCCTGCAACTCAACTCACGGTTGAAAACATCAACACAGCCTCAGCTATGTTTATCTGTGAGTCAGAATATTGTGATCACATATAATTAAATCATAATTAGCTTTCATCTATTGCCCTTTAGTGATGCATTCTGAGGAGAGCTCCTTATACAAGCAAATGCAAATCTAGTGTTTGAATTCTACTGCGACATGCACAAAACATTACATGTGCCCATATGCACAGTCTTTCACTAACAGCTGAGCATTTACAGTAATCTCAATTCAACACAAGACTATAGGATTGGATGCAGACAATCACATTACCTCCAGTCTGCCCATGCTTCTATTTGCTGGAGAAAATCACCATGTAAAGCCAATACAGACAGATATACACACAGAGGCAGCAGCACAACCCTTCTTTACAGCTGCTGCATTCTTACCACATGCACAGCCGCGACAGGATGGGACAAGTTAAATTATTAGGGTTTCAAATAAATGACACATAACTCAGGACACTGCAAGACAGGGAGGGAGAGAGGGGCAGAGAGAGAGAAGCTCTGGCTCTGCAGGTCTAGATGATGGACGGACCACAGAGGAACATAAATGCAGCTGATTTAAATCACTTTAAATGTAAATGTTTATCGCGTGGAGTGATGCAGATGCGAATTGAGTGGAAGAGATTGAAATTGTTTCCTCTTTTGAATGCAAATATGTTTTAACCCATTGGGGGGTTTTGTCATGGGTAAGGTTGCGCTCAAAAGGAAGAAAAGAAAATGAACGTACACAAAAAGAAAACTGTCGTGTTACGAAATGAGATCTATGACTTCGATTGTTACAAAACCACTTTCACTAAAACAACACAAATTATTATTTATTTAAACAAAACTAGACAACTTTTCATAAAATGATAACACAGTGGATTGTATATATTTTGAGATATTGATACCTCAATGTAAGGAGCTTTTTCAGGTAGTGTTTTAAGAAATCTTTGCTTTCTGCTCAGCTGATTAGAAAACAACAAACACTGCCAGTTATAACAGTTATAAATGCAACCAGATCGACCTAAACCTTGGTTCAGCTGTTTGTAAATTGATTATTACAATAACTGTATTACAATAAAGAAAATAAATGCAGCCGGAATTTTTTTGCACCATTGGGCTTTGAGTTTTCTGTTAGATTCTATTAACATTATTTGTTCAACTTACTTTTATTTAGATTTCCTGTTGATTGACATAAAAAGCTACAAGCATCACGGATGTCACCAAAAAATGACTCATTCCTATAGATTTAATGCACTCAGTTAAAGCATACTGCATATACACCCTTCCACCACAAGGTCAAATAAAAGACAATGCTGGCTGGTTATTGAGCACTCACACAAATAGACACTAAAAAGTGCGCACATCCTTTGTCCTATTAATTCTGGGGCATTAAAGCGAAGTACATGATGATGATTCAAATGTCAATACTGCTAAATTTCAAAGTGATTTCCCATAGTTGACCTGAAAGAGAGAGTCCAATATTGTGACAGTAGACAACTACATTATCTTTAATAACCTAATCATTGGACAGACTGCAAATGATCACAGTGCAGAAGTCAATATACTGGGCCAGAGAATAGAATTACAGTTAATACTGATAAGATTAATAATGTGGTGTTTCTGTGTGTATCTGTATACTATATGTGCACACTTCTTCATACTGCAAAATGAAAGAGAGGAAGCAAAAGACAGAGAAAGAAACAGCGAATCTAGAGTGCTGAGAAATGAGCAGGAAGCGTTGAAATATTGTTTCCTGTGCCTTCTGTCCTCCTTTAACACAGGAAGTGAATCAGTGCTACTGAATTCTCCTGTTCCTTGGTGTGTCTAGAAGTCAAAACGCACACACACACACACACACACACACACACACACACACACACACACACACACACACACAGAAAGCATCCCACACAGTTTCCACACCCCTACAATGATCAGCAGTTTTCCACTTTATCATTCTTACACAACGGAGCACAAAAACTGGAAACCTATGAACCATTACACAAAGCAGACCTCCTGTCACATCGTTGTTGATGCACAAGCAGGTTCCAGGTAAGACTGTCCCGGGCCTGAGAATCCCATGTGCCTCACAGAAGAAAGAGGTGCCATGAAAGAAGAATAGCATCTCTAGTTCTAGGTTATAACACAAATGTAATTAAATAGCACACTATATTGACCTAATCAGATAGCAGGACCATAAATTAGTGGACACATGCTCACTAAAAGGCCCTCTCCTCTCAGCTAGGACGCATCTCTGATCGTTTATCATCTGAAAGGAGCAGGAAGGCAGCCAGCATCTATCTCTCTCTCTCTCTCTCTCTCTCTCTCTCTCTCTCTCTCTCTCTCTCTCTCTCTCTCTCTCTATTGCTCTCTCTCCCTCTTGCTCTATCTCTGTCTCTCACTCACTTTTAATCACAGAGAAAATCATTCCTCCAGGCAGGAGAGGATCATGCTCTCCCATCTTGTCCCTCACTCTGGACTTTCATGGTAGCTAATATAAGCCAGGTGACTGTGTGTGTGTGTGTGTGTGTGTGTGTGTGTGTGTGTGTGTGTGTGTCTGTGAGACACTGTTGTACAGGTGAGACACAGACCTAAGAGAGTCTGTACAGTCTTTAACTCTGCATTCAAACACATCACCGCTGTGGGGCATTTGAAAGTTTCCATGAGCAACACACACATTTGAAAGAAAAAAAATCCTTACTCACAACACATGCAAGCACTCAGACTGTCAAAGGTCCAGCAGTGGGAAAAGATAATATCCCTCCCACACACACACACACACACACACACACACACACACACACACACACAGATTTCTAGCAGCATGTATTGTGGTGGCAGTGACCTTGTATGGCAGCCCAACCTAGACTCTGTGCAGCTTTTATCTCAGCCATACTGCTCTTTAGGATGCACTAAGTTCATCAGGCTGCTTTCAGGAAGAGAAACACTCTGCAGGCCAGATTCAGTCCAGAGAGCAGAGGCAGGTTATATCCTACTGGAGCTGTCAGTCGCTACAAAAAACAAATTGCTGCGATTGTCTTCTGTGGCTTTTCTCATACACTTAACTTTTTTTTTTTTTTTTTTTTATGTCAGAAGTCAAACAAAGGATCTTTACACTGAAGTGAAAGTTGTGGATCGCCAAAATACCTCGAGTATCATAACCACAGCGATTTTTTTCAGGCTTAATATGGCTGTAAGATTTATTCAGACGATGAATTAGTCTATTTTAATCATATCGCCTCAGTATTATTGTAACGGTTTTTTTTTTTTCATACGGAATTGTTTGCATGAAATCAAAAATCACATTTTCAAAATTAAACATATTTGTGCATAATCTTATGTTTGCCTCATCTTTTTAAGTATCTTATCTAACTTGTCATCTAGAACTTTGACTTCGGCTGATTTAAAATGAAACTTTCCACAGGCAATATTCAACAAGTGGACAGCTACCGAGTAAAAAGTGCAAGTTTACTCTAAAATCAATCATTAACTGAGTATTTTCTAGGACACCGGCAGCACAATTATTAGGGCCTGAGGCAAATGTTAAATCATACTGTAAATACTGAGCATGTGTGATGTGATGTTCTGCACGTTTTTAAAAGAGGAATTAAAGAGTTTCTGTCTTTAATTACGCAACAGGTGAAGATCGTCCCTTTTATTTCTTGAGAAGCAAAAGTCATCAAAAGAAAATACTTGAAAAGAATCCACGCGTGTATTTTTCAGAGAAAGAAAAGAATGAAAAGCGCATGTTGAGTCAAAATATAAAATCACTTCAATATATAAATTAGAGTTGTTATAATTACGCGCCTTGTGCGCAACATCTGCACCGCGCTTTAATGCAAACCAGATGTTTATGAACAGATGTTCATGTTATCTCAGTGACATTTGTAATTGGCATTTTCTCCTTCTGTTTACATTTCAGTTAAGATCGAGAGAAGATTAAGGCTGAGAGTGTGTGGTGTCGCCTCAAAGACACAGTGACAAACAACAAAGCAAAGCTAAAGAAGAACAAAAATAATCAACATTTTCAGGAGAAAATATGTTTCCATTCATGAAGGTTTATTGATGAATGGTTTATTTATAAAATTCAATTTTTAAGAGTGAACACGATGTCTGCCAGTCAACTGTACTGTCCAGACAATACATTTTACTGTATAGAAATCCAGGGCATCACAATAGATGTATATGGCTGCATGATGCTTTGCTTAATTATTCTACAACACCGGGAGAACATTAAATTTCCATTTCCAAACAGTTCACAGTTTATTTACCGAATAACACCCATAGGGTTCTGGACAAACTTAATTAAGTTCCTTGAATGAAAGGAAAGCATATTAATAACGAACTGCAGAAAGAATAGATCATTTGATGCAACAATTTAGCGTGACAAAGTTGCCTATTTCTCATTAATTTCAGGACATGCATCATAATCTGCTTCTGTTCTGTTCAAAGCATTTTATCTTCAGCCCACTTGTTGATCACAATAATCTATTTAGTCTGTGCCTTTGTCAGGACAAATGATAATTGTTTCTGCTGAATATGCTGATGCTGCTCACCTTTGATAGTTGTCTGTCAGTATAAACCAGTATTAAGTACAAAGTTGTTTTATTCCACAATGTCCTTTTTTTCCTCACCGGGCTCCAAAAGAAGCCTATAAAATGCTGAAGGGTCCATGTTCGCGGGGGAACTTTTATGAAAGCAGAGTGACGGATGAATGCACTTGCTCACACGTTTTCTTTCTGTCTTTTTTTTTTTTTTTTTTTTTTTTTACAAATAAATCCCAAAAAGGTGATGAGGCTGAACAATGCAGGCATGGTATAATACAATCATTATACACAAAATTACAAAAATAAGGAAAAAGAAAAAAGTAAAAACACAATCCGTACATGACCAGCATGCATGGCTTCACATAACTTACAGTCTGACATCAATTTCCCCAAACCTCTGCTGTAACTGAGTTTGGATGTTTTTGTTTTTCACAAGACAAATATGGATGATATGAAAATGAGATCGTTCATATCAAAATAAATTGACTTTAAACAAAACAAAACAAAAATAAATCAAAAGTAAATTCACACCAAAATAAAGCTGCTGTTTCCTGAGGATTGTTTAATTTCACAAAACAATTTTGGGGGTAAAGGGAACAGGATGGACGAGGCGCAGGCTATAAGGTCGGACCTATTCAGCAAAGTGTTAAGTAATTTTATGCAGTGTGTCTAAAGTCAAACATCACGAATTGGACACAAATCCTTTGAGATATTTGTGGAAACCGAATTCTCATTCAAGAGTCATTTAAACAGGCCTACCTGTGTATCCTTTAAAAGTGATAAAACATAAACCAAACAAGATCCTCACCCTGAAACAAAATACTTGTGAAATACAGAAAAGAGGAAAACTTTTTGTCTTTAACTAACGCAGCTTTGACAAAACAACTTCAACACAAGCTCGTACAACCTATTTTTAGCTGCGCGCAAATTAAAAGTTTTTTTTCTGTTTTTTTTCTTTTTTTGTGAGGTTCGGTTATTAAAACTTTTCAGCGCCGAGACTCACATGAAAAACTCCGGGGATGAGGGGTTGTTGTCGCTGCTGGATCCTCCGTTTTCTCTGAAGCCGGTGCTGATCAGCTTCTCGTATTTCTCCTTGTAGGCGTCCCTCTCCCTGGCCAGCCGGGAGATCTCCTGCTTGAGGTGGTCCACCTGCTGTATGAGTTGCGTCTTCTCTCCCTCCAGGACGTGCCGCTGCTGGACCCGCTTGTACCGGCAGGACTGGGCATAGCCTCTGTTCTTTAGCGTCCTCCTCTTCTGTTTCAGACGGATTACCTCTTCCTTGCTGACCCCCCGGAGCTGCCGGTTCAATTCCCGCACCGACATGGTCACCAGCTGCTCGTCCGAGAACCGATCTTCCAAACGCAAGTGCTGGTGGTTTCCCCCCGCGCCACCGCCGGACTGAGACCCGGAGGAGGGGTGGTGTGCTCCTGGGTGGTGGTGGTGGTGATGGTGGTGGTGGTGGTGGGGAGTCCCGTTCTGAGCTGCGGCTGCAGCAATAACCGCGGACACCACGGCGGCCGCTGATCCCATCTCCTCCCCGGCCATGGCGCCTCCTGCCCCGGCTGCGCCGCCGTACTGTTGCCCTCTGGTATAGCCATCGAAGGTCTGGAGCTGGTGACTGCTGCTGATCAGCGCCTCTACGGCGTCCTCCGGGCTAAAGCCCAGAGCCTCGGGGTTCAACTGCTGTTGGTACCCGGTCATCCAGTAGAAATCCTCCAAGTGAGCCTTCTGTTCGCTCCCTGATCCCGGACTGGGCGCCGAGAAGCTTGGAGAGGGGGGAACCGAGCTGCAAGGCGTGCTCATCGGGGTGGAAGATAGGGATCCCCCGGCGACCAGGCGGCTGCACTGGCTGATGCTGCGATCGGGCTCCACCGGCTCCTTTTTCACTTCAAACTTCATCAGATCGAAGTCATTAACATATTCCATGGCCAGGGGACTGGTGGGCAGGTCGGAGTTGCTCATTGCCAGCTCTGATGCCATCCTCTTGCTGTTGACAGTCCTCCAAAGGGGGTGAGGAGCACCTGTCAAAGTGGGCTGCTGAGACACGCACTGAGCCAGCTTGATTTCTTTATTTATTTTCTTCAAAAACGAAGGAAAAAGTGGATTTTCTCGCACTAATTGCGCAGCGCAGGTTTTGGTTTTGTGAGTCGATAAGTTTTTTTTTTCTTCAGTCCGTGTTGCACAGACGCATTGGAGGAGCGCTGTTTCCTCCCTCTCTCCCAGCGTGCGGGTGTCTGAGCGCCGCTCTCTCTGTTTCTACCATTTAACACTTCATGGCTCCTTTTAGGATTAGTGCGCCAAATTGAGGAGGTTCACGTACGTGTCCCGGGCAAATAGTTGCTTTGTGGAGAATGAAAAAAAAAAACTCCACCCAAGGATTGATAGATTTTTTTTTTCTAAGGGATCAGTCAGCCGACGAGTTAAAAAGCATTGCTTAGTTTTATAGGCGCCCTGACGTCAGGACTGAAATATGAAATTGACTGAGACTCAGCCAATGAGGAGCCCAGCCCGGGGACGTAATTAGCATAATAGTATAGAAACCAAAGTTTTCTGAACTGTCCAAGCTCATCAAAAGATTGACACATGAAACTTAATATTCATTCTTTTGTCACTTTGCATGGGAAGGAGCGAAAGCAAATAAAAGAAAACAGATTCTGAAGGATTAACAGAAGATAGATGGTAAACATGCATCTGTCTTTTTTAAGTCGTTATGTCTGTAACACATATTTAAGTAGTTTTATATCATTATAATAATTATTTATATTGAATTTTCGATTCATATTTGTCAACAATATTGTTTGTTTCTGCATTATGTGTCCATTAGTCCGGTTTTCTTAGTCCTGCTCTCATTTAGTGCGTTGATATAGAAAGACTTTTCACAGGTGTATTTAATTAATTATGCAGCTTTCTAATTAATGAGTCACAACCGTTTTTGTCTCTCTGCCCAAACATCTTAAAATTAAATGTATCCAAATCCATTTTAATGGATCCGAGCGACAGATAAACGGTCTGTATAAAACAAACAGTCGCAGAAATGGATTACTACAAATATAAAGCAGATCGGTTGTGTGAGGAAGGTGAAAGTGTTTGAAAAGAGCACGGCATGGGTCTGGTTGAATGACAGTGTTTGGAAACCCAACGTCGCCACCTTTCGGTATAAAAGGATACTTCATGTGGGTCTGTATGTGTCCAACACAGTCGCGGTGTGTATTTCTTCTTTAAATTTACTTTTTTTTTCTTTTAAAATACCTTTACTTTTGTAGAGTCTGCTTGCTGTTAGTCTTACTGCTGGATCTGACAATTATTTAACAGGACAAGCATTTACTTCCACTACACCTCATAATAAAAAGAACATTTGTGTTTTTTCAAAACAAAAGACATAACTAAATTAAAACCAAAAAAGAAAACAAAAATATACACTTAAACTATATCCATTTTTCACAAGTCCATGTGAAAATTAAATCCTTTTTTATAATGGAATACTCTGTAGTGACAACACCTCCCATCTGTGTCCTTCTGGAGTCTGTAGTCTCAATCCCATGTAATGATCACACCATCAGTGTTCCCCTCTTTCTCTGTCTCTGTGTCTCTGTGTCTCTGTTTCTCTATGTCTCTCTCTCTCTCTCTCCTGGAGCACAGTCCTCAGGAGTGGTGGCACATAAGAACAAACAATAAGGAGGGCTATACACAGAGGACTGGAGAGTAAATAAGAGCACTCTCCCTGGAACATGTCACACGGGGAAGCTTCAGAAAACTACAAAGCCGCCAGCAGATAATCCAACTCCCCTGTGTCCCAACGCAAGTAAATATTCTCTTGGTCCCTGTGACTGTTCATGGGGACTTAACGTTAAACAGGAAGGATAAACATCGTGTTTTATTCATTAGAACACACAACAGAGGCCCCTCAGATGCTTTTGAATAAATATTAAACAGATGAGGTGTCCCATCTGATGCTACTATGTTGTTGCTGTTGTGTAAATTCCGACTGGTAGTTAGATATACAGGAAAAGAACTTCAGAGTAACAGCAGTGCACATTTGATCATATATACTGTAAGATGATAATGCTTTATACACAGTCATTTGGTTTGTCTTTCAACAACCAGGGGGTCATCATGACATAATGTTTAGTGACAGGAAAAGTATGTCATAACAGAGGGAGGTGAATAAACAAAAAGAAGTCCTGTAATAGTCCTATAAAACAGGCAAAGTAACAAAAAATATAGTATTCTGTTAAACAGTTTGACACATAAATCACCCGCAGACACAGAGAGCAGTTTAAGTTGTCCACACACACAGTCCATGTTTGCAGCAGTGGACACTAGCTGCTCTGTGAGCTCCGGGTTTGCCAGATCTCTTAAACCAGGATTTATCGGCCCAGGAGTCTCAAGGGTTAACAAGTAGAGTCCAGAGCCAATGCATCAGCTGTGTTACTGGGGGCTAATAGTCCTGTATGCACCTCATTCTGTCTCCCTTTGGAGTTGCATGTAGGCAGCTCACTGCCATGAAGTTCACTACTATCTTTATTTTATCGGGGATGTTTTGTTTCCTACACTATACAGGGGGTTGCACTTGCATATATCATAAAATAAGCTTATACAGCAGGAGGTGGACCTCTTATACAGTGTTAGTATAGAGGAAAGTTAAGAGCTCACCAGTGTTATATGATCATGACATATCTAAATATATTAAAATAAATACTGCACACCTGTATGGAGAACAACCAGATCAGCTCTCAGCTCGCTTTATTTGGAGAGATTTTTCTCTAAATAAATTACATTTGGATTAAACAATAATGCCAAATGGATTGAACAATTTCTTTTTAACAAATAATAATAATGACATGCCTAAACCAATATTCAATAACATTAAATACTAATATTTCTATCGTTTGTGACCCCGGAGCTGTACAGTCAAATGATTTATGAATGGAAAAATCAAACTCTTTGAGGCTGGGTGACTCTTTTGTAACACTGCTAATGCCCCAGCCTTATGTGTACAAACCAGCTTTGTGTTAATACTCTGGCACCTACATGTGGAGCCCAGCTACAGTACGTGTTAATGAGACAATGTCTGACCTTTCAGAGTTCACCCCAGGAGAACACTGATGCATCCTGGGTAAAGGATAACCAGTGCTCCCACACTTCCTTGTGATTTACTGGTACAGTGACTTTACTAATTGTTACATCTATTAAAAACATTCTCATTACAGTATGACTTATGCGCCACGTTGCAATAGACCTCACTTTTATTTTCAGCATGCTAACCTTTTGTTTGCCTCTGGGGTTCCCTGAAGTTGTGCACTTACGGAGGATGTGCGTGTTGTTTGCTTTGTTACCCACCTTTACAGTAGAAATGTTCTGTTTACAAGTTTGTTCTGCTGTATCTATTTGTAGAAGCAGGAGCAGTGATGTCTGTAAAAATAAATAACATGCAGAGATACAGTGTATTTAAGACAAATATAATAACTCTCACACTGTGATATGATTGTTTACAAAATATTATTACAATGTTTTGGCAAAGAAACAAAATGGAGGATTGAGAACATTGAGAAAAAAAAACTAATTAAAGTTCATTTTATGCATCTGCAAGATATGCATTTTATAACCCCACACACACTATTCAAAATCTTAAGTGTGCTAAAAATAGCCATACATTACCATATTTAACAGACAGTAACTTAAATAAAAGGACAGAACTAAACTAAAGGATTTCTGCATTACCAAGATTATGCCTTATAATCATTCATTACATTCCCAATGGGAGGTAGGCTTCATATTCATTCTCAATCCCTGTTTAATGCCATATATTAAACTCTGGTGGCACTCCAAATGGGGGAACAACCAGACGAGTGGGCTCAGTGGGCTCATCTGAGACACATTTAATTAGCAGGACAGAAAATGAAATGTTTCGTGGGGTCTTATTTAACTGTTGTATCTTTTGTAATAGAATGAGGAGCTGTGAGAAGCTATTACAAGAAGGAGCATGAAGAACGGTACCACACACTCCTCTGCCAGTGTTTTATAGGGGGAATAAAAGAATGCATATTAAGATAATAAGCTTCCACATCACGGAAACAAAGTGCCATATTTGCAAAGTGCTACGTTTGAGAGAACAGGCTTAGTCGCTCTCCCTGTGTCACTATCTCACTGTCCTGTTCTCCAATCCTGCATTAATCAGACTTTTACAACCTTTTTTCGATTCATTTACCTGCTCAGGAAGCAGGTAGCAGCTCTGAGTTCGAACTGTCTGTTTATGTGTGAACTTGACAAGCTGAAAAACGTCTGCATGGTTAATGGGGGAGAAACAGGATTTCAACAAGTGAGGTTGATCATTACCTTGCAGTGTAACTGTGCACACACACACACACACACACACACACACACACACACACACACACACACACACACACACACACACACACACACACACAGAGGGAGATTGTGGAACAGTGTACCCAGAGAAAGACAGGACATGGGCTTACCAGTAATATGTTGATATAAAGGATCCCCATATAGGATCTGTTGTTTTTGCTGAGATCTAGTTCTGCTTTTTAAACTGCAGTGGCAGAAATGTCCAAGTCACCACAGTTATTCACATCCTTAAAGCCTGAAAATGGAAATATTATTTGCAGAGTAAAACACCAGAGCTGTGTAAGATTCAGATTCAAATGATTGCAGGCTCTTGATTAGAAAAACCAGGCTGTGACACTCTCTCTCTCTCTGGCTCTGTGCCTGCCAGAAGGATGCTTCAACCTGGTAATTGGCCACAATGAGCAGACTTGCATGTGTCAAACTATCCTCTTCACATCTGGTTATTGTCTCTCACAGCAGGTGGACATCACAGGCATCGTCTGAGCAGTCTCATCTGCTCTCTGTCTCTGTATAACACACAGGATGCACTGCTATTATACTTTAAAAACCTGCAAAACTGCATGTGTAGTTTAAAATATGATATCTCTCAGGTGAACGGTTAACATGATGAAGATGTGGGTCATTCAAGTCAGTGCAGTCTGTGAGTTAATGATTTGATGTTTACGAATACATAAATGTGAAATTGGAAGCACTGAGAGAGGAAGTAGCTTATTGAGGATTCGACAGTTCATGAATGTAATCATGTTTACACGTAAACACACTAAAATTAAGTGTGAATCGTATGGAACCTGAACTCATCTTCTCTCATTAGACACACACTGCTACATTATTGGCTTCATTAGCCATCCCCACCGTGCATCACCCAGCATGTGGAGGAGCAGGTAGAAGTCAGCACTCACAAAATAACAAAAATTATACAAGGTACGCCAGCTATTTGCTTTTCCCCAAAGCTATAATGGTTTCTAATAGTCTACCTAACTGAGGGAGAAACATGGATAATTTTAGCCTTTCATGGCTAATGACTGTAATGACTGTGATTTTCTATTTTTAGGTGTATACATGAACACACTGTTTGCATGGGTGACTTCCCGTGCATACGTGATTCATGTTGC